GTTCTAGGCCAGCCTCAGCAACTCTGTGAGTCTCTAAACAACTTAGTGAGATCCTATCTCTTAAAAATAAAAAGGGCTAGGGATATGGCTAAGTGTTAAAGCACCCATATCCAATCCCAGCACAACCCCTGCCAAAAGAAAAAAAATCACACAGCAAATTAGTGAGAGAAAGCCTTCTGATTGTAGCCCGATGCTTTTGTTTTTTTTTTTGTGGTGGGGAGGGGCTACCAGAGATTGAACCCAGGGGCACTCAGGCACTGAACCACATCCCTAGACCTATTTTGTTGCATTCCTCACAGGATCACTCCAGGTGAACTGGGCTGCACGAAATAATCACAGAGAGACAGAGATACCTTTTTCTTTGGGTCCTGTGATGGCTCCTCTGACCTTAGGGGTCTCTTTTATTGAGGAGAAGCCATTCAAATGAGGCAAGGGGTCAGGTTTCAGGGGGTTGAGTCTAGCTTCATGATGTCTACAGTCAGCAGGTTGACTGACATCTAGGAAGGCCCTACCCAACGGCAGAGTAGGAGAAGGGGACACACAAAGGGTGTTTCCATGGAACATTCTATCCCAAACAGGGCAAAGGGGTAGGATTACAAAGGAATAGGTGAGTGTAGCTCAACCCCATGGGTGACAGGGTACATCTGAAGATACGCCCTCAACTTCCTGGACCAGGACAATGTTCAGGCTACTATGAATTGTAACGACCCGTCAAAGCCTCTCACTTCAGGATGGAAGGCGCAAATCATTCAGAGTGGCTCTGCACACATTTTATTTAGAGACAGGTCTTGCTGAGTTGTTTAGGGTCTGGCTAAGTTGCTGAGGCTGGTTTTGTACTCACTATCCTTCTGCTTCAGTCTCCCAAGCCACAGGGACTACAGGCATGTGCCATGGTACCTGGCTCGATGCTTTTTTCATGAGATGAGGCTGCTTTTCTGATTATTCACCATTTGAATATTCAGACCCCATGGGGAAGTGTCTTACTCCTGCTGAATAAATTCCTTCTCAGGCACATGATAGAATTCCAGGGTTCTAATGGTATTCTCATACACTGCTATTTAACACAAAGTCCAGAGGGGTTTTTTTTGGGGGGGGCTGTTAATTTTTTTTGTAGTTGTTGATGGACAGAATGTCTTTATTTTATGTTTATTTTTATGTGGTGCTGAAGATCAAACCCAGTGCCTCATGCATGCTAGGCAAGCCCTCTACCACTGAGCCCCAAMCCCCTATTTTGTTTTTTAATTTGAAAAAATTCCTATAAAATTGTTTACCCCGTCAGGCGTGGTGGCACACTCCTGTAATCCCCAGTGGCTCGAGAGGCTGAGGCAACAGGATCATGAGTTCATGAAGGCCTCAGCAACTTATCGAGAACCTAAGCAACTCTGCGAGAAAATGTTTAATAAAATATCTTTAAAAGGCTGGGGATTTGGCTCAGTGGGAGAGAGACTTTTCATCAAATGCCTTTTTTGTATTATTATAAATGCTTTTATTATCTATATCAAAACATAATTTAGCCAGGCACAGTGGCGCACACCTGTAATCCCAGCAGCTTAGGAGACTGAGATAGAAGGCCAGCCTCAGCAATGGCAAGGCGCTAAGCAACTCAGTGAGACCCTGTTTCTAAATAAAATACAAAATAGGGCTGGGGATGTGGCTCAGTGGTTGAACATCCCTAAGTTCAATTCCTAGTACCAAACAAACAAAGGAAGAAAACATAATTTGGAAAACTTTTGTGCTATAAAAAAGCTTACGAAAATCCCAACTTTTATGCTATATACCACAAATAGCACCCTTGCTGAAAAGAGTAAAAATTATGAAATATTAGGTCATCTTTTACAAAATTATGATGGTATGCTTGCCTAGCATGTGTAAGGCACTGGGTTCGATTCTCTGCACCACATAAATAAAATTTAAAAAATGTTTAAAAATTCAGGGGCTGGGGATGTGGCTCAAGCAGTAGTGCGCTCACCTGGCATGTGTGCAGCCCAGGTTCGATCCTCAGCACCACATACAAAGATATTGTGTCCGCCGAAAAACTAAAAAAAAAAAAAAAAAATATATATATATATATATATATATATATATATAATAAAATAAAAATAAAAATTCATAAAAATATATAATATATAGAATTTAAAAATTAGTCTTATAACATTACATGACAGGTAGATCATATATTTCATTTACTATTAGTCAAGTATGTGCCACTAAACTTGTAACATTAGGATACCTAAGAACAAAATTAAATAGAAATAAAAAGATCTAATATATTTTTTTAATGTATGTGGTGCTGGGGATGGAACCCAGGGCCTTACACATTCAGGACATGTTCTACCACTGAGCTACCCCCAGCCCAAGATCTGAATTTTGTCATCCCTTCTCTCTAAATAGTTTTCTATGCAATGGGATAAAGAAAAAGGGTGGGGGAGTGGCTCCATACAATTATTCTGATATTTGGGGGATACTCTTTGTGGGTGGGTGGGTGTGTGTGTGTGTGGTGGGCCCTTGTTATCCACAAGTTTCATGTTTGTGGATTCAAATGACCTTAAATTGGAAAAAAAAAAATATATATATATATATATATATAATATATATAATTGCATCTGTACTGAGCTTGGACAGATTTTTTTGGTCACTATTCCTAAACAACTATTTACACAGCATTTACATTATATTGGGTACCATATATAAGTAATCTAGAGATGATTTAATATAGGGGATGATATTCATTGGTTATGTGCAAATACTTCTCCATTTTACATAAGGCATTTGATTATCTATGGTTTTTGGTATCCTAAGGAGTCCYGAAACCAATCCCTTATAGATACCGAAGGACTACCATGTAAGTGTGATGTGCGGGTGTATCAGAATTTTCTCCATTGTCATTATACATTATTTTTTTCCCCATTTTTTTTGAGAGGGGTACTGAGGGCTGAACTCAGGGGCACTCAGCACATCCCCAGACCTATTTTGTATTTTATTTACAGACAGGATCTCACTGAGTTGCTTAGGCCTTGCTGTTGCTGAAGTTGGCTTTGAACTTGTGATTTTCCTGTCTCAGCCTCCCAAGCTGCTGTGATTACAGGTGTGCGCTATTGCGCTTGGCTAGTTTTTTTCCCAGTTTTAAATTATGATATCATTAAAGTAATTTATTAAACTAAAAGTCCCATTATTAATTCCACCAGCAACACAAAGAAGACAAAATTTCTATGGAATCTAAACATCTTGATTATTACTATTTTTTTAAATATCTATTTTTTTAGTTGTAGTTGGACACAATACCTTTATTTTATTTATTTTTATGTGGTGCTGAGGATTGAACCCAGGGCCTCGTACATACATGCTAGATGAGTGCTCTACCGCTGAGCCACAATCCAAGCCCAACATCTTGATTTTTTTTGTTGTTGTTGAGATATTATTTATTCTTCAAAGGTTTCACATACATCTTGATTATTAATGATACTATCTAGGTAGGCTTGAACTACAGATTTTCCCGAATTAGGAAACGTTCATATGAAAAGGCAAATATGAAAGCAATGTACTTGGATGTATATACTACTTAATCAAGATGATCACAGCATGYAACAACACAAAATTGTCCATTTATTCCTTCTTTTATTCAAATATTTAATAAAAGATTATTATATGCCCAGCTCTATGCTAAGAAATTCTGATACAAAAAACATACTTGGTACTGAAATGTAACACTGTACCCCATAAAATATGTACAATTAATGTGTCAGTTAAAATAAAAATGAAATCTGAGCTGGATGTGGTGAGCCATGTCTGAAATCTCAGCTACTCAGAAGGCTGGAGGGATCACAAGTTTGAGGCAAGCCTGTGTAACTGAGCAAGACTCTATCTCAAAATAAATAAAGAAGGCTAGGTATGTAGCTAAATGGTAGAGCACTTGCCTAACATGCACAAGCCCCTGGATTGAAACCCCAATATAGTAAAAAATAAAAAACATGTTTTTTGAATCTTGTTCTCACAGAGATTTGTCTAGCAAAGGGGAAAAAAATAGTGAAACCAAAACCTGGGACCAGCATTATGAAGAAAAGGAAGACCAAAGCAGCAAGTTTGGAAAAACTTTTGTAGTTAAGTGAAATTACACTGTTAGAAAGGTTTTTAAAGTAGCAGAACCAAACTACTACAGTGTTAAATGGCCTGGCTTGGTGGTGCACCAAGGCAATTTGGTAAGACCCTGTCTCAAAAAAAAATGGGAGGGGGACTGTGAGATGTAGTTCAGGGGTAAACACCTCTGAGTTAAACACCCAGAAGAGAAGAAAAGAAGGGAGTGAGGGAGGAAAAATGCTCACATTTGCTTTGGTTTAGATATGGCAGTCTAGCTACCAGTGGGGTAAAGAAATCTTAGGAGGCGGGGCCTAGAAGAAAGTGGTTAGGTGATTTGGAATCTTGCTCTGAAGAGGGATTAATGCAGTTCACCTCCCAGGACCCTAGTTCATTCCAAGAGCAAGTTGTTATAAAGAGAGCAAACCTGGCCCTGAATCTCTGGCTTCATGCCATCTATCTTCTGCACAAAGTCATTTCCCCTCTTATTTCTCTGCCATGTTATAATGCAGTCAAGGGGGCCCTCAAGAGGCCAAACAGATGGGGCTACCTGTTCTTGGACTTTCAGCCTCCAAAACTGTGAGCTAAATCAATTTGTTTTCTCATAAAGTACACAGCCTCCATTGTTTTGTTCAACAATAGAAAATAAACCAATATATCACTCTTCTAATTCTTATGAAAGGTGAAAAGGAGTTTTCCGTGATTATACATCTAAGGCCTGCGCTACTGATGGCATCCTAAAAGCAGTTTAGTCTTGCCACAGGCCAGAGCCTTGGTCCAGCAACTACCCCAGATACTGCTTTATGAGTACCGTCAGAGCCCTTTCCCTCCCAGTCTTCTTTCCACGACTTTGTCAACACCTCAGAGTCAAGTCCGTCAGTAGCATAGTATCACTGTCCACCGATTTCAAAAGAGGAGATTCTGCTCACCTGATTGTCCAGTTTCAGTTGCCGAAGCTTCATGGTCTCATCTTCAAAGGCACTGTTTCAAAACCAAAGAAAACAAACTAGTGAAGAGAAAATCCTTTTAAAACCTTGCTAATTTCATCTTCGTGTGTGTGTGTGTGTGTGTGTGTATGAGAGAGAGAGAAAGAGACATATACTGAGAGAGAGAGAGAGAGATGCTGAGTGAGAGAGAGAGAGAGAGAGAGAGAGAGAGAGAGATGGATGCTGGGGACTGAATGTAGGAGCACTCTACTGCTGAGTTATTTCATAGAGGACCTGAGGAGGAAAAGAAAAAGGTGTTACCACAGACCCCATGCATGCTACAGTTCTTTCTCTTGCATGCACGGGTAAGCGCACACTCTTTCTTTCTTTCTCTCTCTCTTTTTTTTTTTTTTTTTTGGTAGTGCTGGGGACTGAACCCAGAGCCTTACATATGCTAAGCAGATGTTCTATCACTGAGCTGAATCTCCTTCTTCCTTCTCTCTTCTCCTCCTCCTTTTTGGTTCTGAGGATCCAATTCAAGACCTCTAGCATGCTAGGCAAGGCCTCTACTGCTGAGCTACAACCCAAACGCCTTCTATTTGTTTTAAACCATGTATTGAGTACTTATTATATTCCAAACTCAGTATTAAGTATTTTACATGCATTATTTTGTTTATTACTCAAAATATCCCTATGAACTAGGCATTGTTATTTTTCACACACTGAAGAAAGAGAAACACAGTCTTGGGAGCAGAAACAGACCCTAATCCTGTTCTTCTAGAGTCTAAATTATACCTGGAAATTGAATATTTTTCATTTCTTTTTTGGGGGCCAATTCTAAGAGAGGGAAACTAAGCCTGAAGCTAGAGCTCTCTAGTTTCTTTAAGATTTGGATAAATCATTTACTCTTCAAGTTTGTCATTAATAATATTTATTACATTGGTCTTCGAAAGAGACTGAAAATGTGGATGACAAGATTTGATACCACTGTGAGACAGATTTGCTTAATGTAAGGAAAAAAAAACCAACAAAAACTGAATAAAACTATTGTCTTCAGTTGATAAACCAAACTCTTTAGATTTTTTTTTTCTTTTTGAGACAAGGTCTCATTATGTTTCCCCAGAGTGACCTCAAACTATTGGGCTCAAGCAATCTTCTTCCCTCAGCCTCCTGAGTAGCTAAAAATGACACCACGATACCCAGCTACAATTTTTAACAATCTGAAGTCTATTCTATAATTTTGACAATTTGCTAATTTAAGATTCTATCTTGTGGGGCTGCAGCTGTAGCTCAGTGGTAGAGCGCTTGCCTAGCATGTGTGAGGCACTGGGTTCAATTCTCAGCACTGCATATAAATAAATAAAGGTCCAACAACAACTAAAAATATGTATATATTTTTAAAATTCCATCTTGTGACTCACAACTCTTCAAAAGTGTGAAGTATGAAGCTGCATATAAATAAATAAATATATAAATAAATAAAGTAAAGGTCCAACAACAACTAAAAAATGTATATATTAAAAAAAATTCTGGGGCTGGGATTGTGGCTCAGCGGTAGCACTCGCCTAGCATGCACGTGGCCCTGGGTTCCATCCTCAGCACCACATAAAAAATAAATGAATGGAATAAAGATTAAAAAACAAATCTATCTTGTGACTCAGAATTCTTCAAAAGTGTGAAGTATAAAGCAAGATAGAAATGGTTCTCAGTTTCTTGGGTCCCAAATTTTTACTAGAAGTCTATTGCCAGAAAAACTGGAAATACATGGTCTTATTTAAGACAAATTCCATGGCCACAAAGGGAAGCACAGCTTTTGTTGCTTTTGGGGCAAACACACCAACAACATATTTCCCATGGTTAAAAGGTTTATCACTACTTTCCTACATTTTAGAAGGTTTAATGCATCTTAACAATGCAGAGTGACTTGGAATTTGCATACTATTCCCAAGATTTTTCCTGACTAATAACCTGCAAACAGGTTTAATAACCTCTTAGATGGGAAAGGTGCTTTCTGATTCTCTATATTAATTCCCTCATAATCTTTGTTTAAAACACAAAACAAGGGCTAGGTTGTAGCTCAGTGGTAAGAGTGCTTGCCTAGCATGCATAAGCCCCTGGGGTTTGATCTCTAGCAATGCAAATAGAAAAACACAATACAATATTGGTTACTCAATAAATTATCTCCTTTCTCCCAGCTCAAAAGAGGGACAAACAAACATACTTCTAGTCTTGACCCTGTGGACCCTATTTCTTCTAGATATGCTTCTATCTTTTTCTTAACTTATTATCCTCATTCACATGTTTCTAAATCCCAATTCATTAATTATTAACCAGCATATTACTGGTGTTCAGTAGGTGTTAGTATAAATTTGCAAATGTCTATAAGATGACTAAGACAAAAATTACTGTGAACACTGAATAGGAAAGGGTAACCTGGAGGAAAAAAATCCACTGTTCCAGACTAGTATTTTTAAACAGCTGCTGCTATGAATCTGCTTCTCCTCCAATCACTTTGTCCTCAATACTAAACCAAAATTGTAGTGCCTTCCAGCATGGAGAAAAAAAAAAAAAAATCCTCCTCCCTCTCCCATTCCATCTTCCAAACACTGAAACCTCCTCAACAATGTTAAACGCTGAGATCCAATTAAAGTTCTCAAACATTTCTCTCAGATATGTCTTCAATGCCATATCCAGACACACTTAATTCCTTCCGTCAAGCCTGGGCAAGCTGAACAGACAGGCTAAATTAGCAGAATAGAGTCAAAGCATTTTGATCTGAACAGAAGAACAATAAATAAATAGCTGCTATAAATGTAACATTTAGATACCTCCTGTACATCCAAAACCATACTTAAATTCAAATTACAATTTAGCCTAATATTTTTTATATAGCTATATTCAATCTGAACTAGAATTTTTAATAATAACTGCTATTCAGTTATTGAATAGCAAGCCTAATCAAGCCAAACTAACATAAAACAGAAAGAATTCCCACAGAATTTWAAAAAAAAAAAAGTTTCTAAGCTGAAAATAGATGTCAGTGATAGAGCATGTGCTTAGCATGCAGGAAGCATGGGGTTCAATTCCCTAGAAAGAAGGGAAGGAAGGATGGAAGGAAGGAAAGTACGATTTTTCCTCATGGACAACTTCCTATTCCCTTGATATACAAAGGGGAACTCTAAAAATATATCTTAGAGAAATGGATCTGTCATCCAAGTGTGGTAGATGAGAATGCACATAGAACACCATTCTTTTTTTAAAAACAAAATCTTTATTTCATTTTTATATGGTACCAAGGATCGACCCCAGTACCTCCTGCATGCTGGGCAAGCACTCTACCACTGAGCCACAACCCCAGCCCTAGAACACTATTCTCTTGAACTATTCTCCAGTTACCAAAATATATATAGAACAATATAAGATCTTACCATTGTGCAGTGCACAGAGAGAATTTTCTGAGAATGGGGGTCTATTCCACTCACCTTGGTTTATGAGCATCAACTTTTTTTCCTAACCCCTTTGTACTATATTTTCATTCTCTCATATCCCTCCCACCTCTTTCTCTCTCTCTGTACCGGGGATGGAACCCAGAAGAGCTTAACCACTAGGCCACATCCCAAGAACTTTTTAATATTTTGAGACAGGTTCTCATTAAGTTGCTGAGGCTGGCCTTGAACTTCCAATCCTCCTGCCTCAGCCTCTCAAGTCACCAGGATTACAAGCGTACCCCACCATACCAGCCATCTATACTATATTCTCTTATTCACCTAACAAATACTTAATAAAAATCTGCTAAATGATGACCCTATTCATCCACTTCTATATACATACTTTTCAGAATCCTAAATGGGAGTCTAACACTTCCCGATTTGTCTTAGGAATGTATGTTCTTTTCCCTATTAAAAAAAAGAATCTAGGGGCTGGGGATGTGGCTCAAGCGGTAGCGCGCCCGCCTGGCATGCGTGCAGCCCGGGTTCGATCCTCAGCACCACATACAAACGAAGATGTTGTGTCTGCCGAAAACTAAAAAATAAATATTAAAAATTCTCTCTCTCTCTCTCTCTCTCTCTCTCTCTCTCTCTCTCTCTCTCTCTCTCTCTCTCTCTCTCTCTCTCCCCCTCCTCTCTCACTCTTTCTTTAAAAAAAAAAAAAAAAAGAATCTAGAGGCTGGGGTTGTAGCTCAACTTGCCTAGCATGTGTGAGGCACTGGGTTCAATCCTCAGCACCACATAGAGAGGCAAATAAAATAACAAAGCAAATTCTAGCAATAGTAAATAGGGTTGGGGACATAGCTCAGTGGTAGAGTGCAGGCTTAGCATGTGTGAGGAGGCCCTGGGTTCAATCCTCAACACCAATAAACAAACAAACAAATAAATAAGGCAAGCCAGCCAGCCAGCTCAAAATTTTTGGTATTGTCCAAAAATCACTTAGTTATCACAATAGATACAGAGTAAGCCTTCGACAAAATTCAGCACCCATTCATGATAAAAACACTGAAGAAATTAGGCACAGAAGGAACCCACCTCAACATCATAAAGGCTATATATGAAAAACCCAAAGCCAACCTCACAGTGAATGAGGAAAAACTGAAAAGCATTTTGTTGGGAAAAGTATAAAAGGCAGCAGCACCCCAGAGAAAAACCCCAACATGGCGCCTAACGACCTTCTTTCCCCTTTTTTTTCACTGGTGCAAAAAGTTCCCGCGGGTTGAACTCTCCTGCGAGCGCCAATTTCAAATCTCGCTGGCAGGGAACCTTAGCCCCAATAAGAGCTAATTCCTGGGCTTCGGAACTGATATCTGGAAGAACTTGCCAATAAATGGGTGGCCTGCCATTTACCTAAGCCCTGCCATCTCTCCATAGATCTATGTAAGCACACAGCCTTTTGCAATAAAATTGGAATTCTCCCCAGCGAAGTGTCTTGTGTGGAGGATTCTTTCACATTTTCTTTAAAATCTGGGACAAAACAAGGATGTCCACTCTCACCACTCCTATTTAATACAGTGCTAGAAGTTTTAGACAGAGCCATTAGGCAGGACAAGAAAATAAAAGTGAT